TTTATTGACCAGGCTGCCTTTCATTCACATTTTGTATGTATTTATGATGTGGACTTTACATGAAAAAAGAGCATTGTATTCTTGGATGGAAATTTTTGGAGGAAAATAACTGAGGACGAAGTTGGGAGAGAAAATTGAAAAGAGCCCTGATTTTTAAATTATGTAATCAAGTTCATCAAATTCTCAATATACCTTTGTCAAATAGGGACGCAGCTGTGGAGAGGTGGGTAGGAATAAAGTGGACAAATCGACTATGCATTTTATTTTATATACGTCTGTACTGTGTAACGGGATATTCATATGATTTACACCCAAGAAAACCAAACTAAAATAATCTCGAAACTTTAACCGATTTGATTGGATGCTCACCCCACCTGAAAATATTCTCATGATCTGTGCTGCCAAAGACAGCATTTTTCCAACTCGTTTTGCACTTCTGTCTTCATATGAATCACAATGCCTTTCTTAAACAAAAAGAAGAAATGTTTTGACAAGTTAATGTAACATTTTTCTAGGAAGAACTTGAGGGATATGAAGGAAAAATGAATGTATTGAATATCAAATTTGTTCCAGTCTAGATCGATCAGAAAAATAGTTGGGCGAACAATATGAAGAGTCGGACGAAAAGGGGTCAAGATTGATTTTTATCCTTTTTTCTCCATTAACTCAATTAAGTCGTGTCTTCTTATTTGCATTATATACTGAGACAGTGGGTTTTTTTTTCATCTGAATAGAATAAAATATATCAGTTTACCATACCATTTTCCAAGGCTTTAGGGCAGAACACCCTGCAAATTAGTTCAATAGTAACATATCCACTTGACGTGAACGGCACAAATTAGAGTATCTTGAAAAATCTGTACTCGAGGACAAAATGAATTAAGCATCTGTCTATAATAATCTATATCGAGTGGGAAGTATACACGTGGGTGCATGTATGTTTGACACATGTATCTACGATGCACTCCGTTTGTTAGCGAACCACCTCAATCCCCATCTTCACAAGCCATAACAAGTGTTAAGGGACAAATCCCATATTGAAAATAGAAAAAATATAGACTCACACATAAGAGCTAGGACCATTCCTTTTAATAAAGTTGGTCTTTCAAGATGAAACACAAAATCTTAATATGGTATTAAAGCCATTATGTTCAAACTAGTAATTCGATTCAATTACAACTTAAAAATAAGCCCACAAATTTCAAGACTAATTTGTTCAAATTTGTCACCATCTCAGGGGACATCAAATTTCGCATCAAATAAAGATAAAAATCTATATCCACATTTAAAATGAAACATCAAATCTTAACAATCATGCTACAAGTATAGAATTTTTCGACAGAAAATCTTTACAGACAATAGATGACACTGGATCATCGAAAGATGGAAAAATAAAAATAAAAAGGTCCAATCGCATGCTGCCAAATCAGCTTCGGTACAAATTCAGTTAAGTTTTTCAGGTTTTATCTAAATCATAATTTGATATCAAAACCAACTAAACTCAAATGAACTATTCAATTTGATGAATACTCAAAAAATGAGCATACGAGTTTCAAAATTAATATGCTCAAAGTAGTCACCATCTTACACGACATGTTAAGGGTCGTATCGAATAAAGATGAAAGTATAAACCCACATATAAAGATTTGAACAACTCCAAAGATGGAATCCCAAGTCTTTAACAAGAAGAGTCATCATTTCTTGCTAGCCCACAGGTCCAAGTGAATCAATAAATGAGTTATTCCAACATGATGTTCGGCTTTACTTGGACTATATATAATATCAAAAGATTTAATATTAACTAAGGTTAAAGATGTTTGATTCCATTTGGCCTTTAGATTAAGACCTATCAAATGTGTCCTTATCCATCAAACATGTGCAAACTGTTTGACTCAAAAGCTTGATAGTGATTCTTGTTTTTTATATAATTGTTTAACAATTGATAAGACAACGCCTATGGGCCCTTGCACATGCTCACCTAGTGACATATGATTCATCTTTTCTTTTTAAAATTTTTGGCCATCTAAGACAAACAAGAAAGACTCCTATATGGAGACACCAAGAAATCCAACCACAACAAAGTGCAAGTTGCCAACTTTTAAGCATGCATAAAAGTTAGAAATCATATCATCAATCATAATAAAAATTTACTTTGTAAACAAGCATGATGCACTTTAGTTGCATGGGATAAAAGAAAATTATTTTTATTTATATTTCTATTTTGTCTTCCTTAGTTTAGGAGATCTCCAACTCTAACAAGTGAAAAAGGACAAAACTCGATTTTCCAATTACTAAACCACTTCATCTAAAATTTTCTCTCCTTCATGTGGAGGCTATATTCATCTTCCATGCTCCTTCACGTGGAGGCTAGATTCATTTTCAAGACCTAACATGCGCACGAATTCCACAAAATTGGTGGTAGCAAAACTTAAACCTACGACCTCTATCATCTCTAATACTAAACTTCCAATACCATACTAAACACCTTTGTCTAAATCTAAGCCTCCGCTTGGCAAATTTATATGTCATCTATAAATTGATAAAACCTCATTTTCAATTGCACATTCCAATGATTCTCTCAAGTATTATCCACTTATCCACCATTCATTTCTATCTACTTTAAAATTTAACCGTTTATAAATTCTTCCCAGAAGGACTCTAAGCTTTTAGTTTTTACGAGTCTACCACCTATGGGATGGTGGATCGAACAAGGCTTTGCCCTCAACAAAATTAAAGAAATAAAAGTTAATGCTGAAACAATATCACACAAAATTCCTCTTAGCCATTACATCACCATAGACCTTTTTAATAAAGAGACCAAGAAAAGGACAAATCTATTCCCAAAATTGTAGATCAAATCAAGCCCATGAAAAGTATGAACAATTTGTATACCTAAGGTATGGTAAATTACCAGATGGATTTATTCATATCAGCATCACACTGAAATACATTGATGATTCTCGAAATAGACAAACCTTTAGAATAACACATAAAGAACAAATGACACTAAATCAGTGAACTAAAAACATCATCAAAAGTGTAGAAACACGCGTTTAACACACAGAAACATAAATAAACAGAGTAATAACATAATAAAACATAGAACAAGAATGTACTAAATGTATAATTTTATCAGTTAATTACTCAGTTAACTAAGAAGATTCTTAGCTTCTCACAGCCAGCAAGGAAGGAATTGCAGCCAAATTCGGAGCGGCATTCTTATTTGCAGATGAATCCCTCTTTCCAGACGAAGGTTTGCTGAATGCTCTCATTGGACTTGCAAATGCCCATCCCCAGCTTTTGCTCCTCCCGTGAGAAAGATTTCTCACACTGCCTGGTGTTGTTGAACTTGATTTTCCATTCACGTTATCTTCAGTCGATGATGAAGCCCTATACGACGAAGAAGACGATGATGAGCTGATAGTGAATCCACTGAAAATCCCACCACACCTAACTCTCTCTTTAATGCAAACTTGCCCATTATTATTTCCACCATTTTTATGCATTGCTGAGGAAATTCTAGACCTTCCTTCCCTTTGAGACTCCACTCTGCGGAGTGCACAATCGCCAAATCCAGTCGATATTCTCTCAAAGAAATCCCCTGAAAAACTTCTGCTCCCGCAGCCGACAGATCTAGATCTTGACACTTTCCTATCAAATGCAGCCTGATCATCAGGGCTTTCATTTTCCTCGACTACAACGAATTCCCTGGTTTTCTTGTCCCTAGTAGATCCTGCAGTGCTTACAGAACTTGCACTTGCCGATGGAAAGTTTGAATCTTTAGAGGGCCTTTCAGGTTTCTTGGTAGTGGAATTGGAATTTCTTGATAAGTAAAGAAATGACCAAAACCCCCATTTATGGGGGCTATAATCTTCAGCAAAATTTTCATCCAAGAAATGTGTACCTGTTGAAAACTAAACTTCTAAGATAAAGTGATTCAACTAGTACAGCACAAAAATAAATTTAGCTTAAGTAGATACGATGTTACCTCTTCTAGGAGTAGCGGTGGATTTGCTTCTCTTGAAAACAATGGGGGCAGGATCTGAACTTGCCGCCATTGCTGCACTGTCCTTCTTTTTCTTTTTCCTGTGCGTCAAAATAAAGGGCAATCTTGACCTCCTAGAGTAATACCCATTATAGCTACAGTCATTGCTAGGGGCATTGTTGTAACTGACACTACGAGAGGCGGCTGAAGAAGACACGTGGCGGCGGACCTGAAGGGATGACACGGCGGCGGTAGCTGTAGCGGTGGAAGTGGCGTTGCCGCCACCACCAAAGTCAGATCTAAAAGAGGGAGAAGAAGAAGAGGAAGAAGAAGGGAAAATGGCTAAAGGAAAAGAGGAAGACACAAGTTTTCCAAGCTTTTCTTGAAGGCAAAAGGCACAGATTCCACCTGGGGTGCTGTTCTTGTAGGGGTGATCTGCACATTGCATGTTACCTTCTCCCATATCTTCATGCACCACTTCCATCACCATTTTTGCTCAAAAATCTTGAATAGGTAGTTGATAAAAACAAATTTTGATTATAGGGTTCTTGATTTTTCCTCTTCCTTTCGGTTTTCTGGTTACATATTCGGTACGAAAAATGGCTTCAAAGTTTAATGGAAAATGGCTTCACATATACAGAGAGAAAATGAGTAATAAATGGATGAATGCAGAAAATGGGATTGTAGTGTCTAGAAATGGTGAGGGCGTGGGTGGTATAGGTATAGAGTTCCTAGGAGCACGTGGAAACATGACTGGTTTATATAATTAATAGGAGAAATTAGAATTGGACTCCCAACCTTTGAAGAAGTGTGAATATAGGTCCCTAGCATCTTAAAATCGTGGCACGAGAGCAAGCGCCATAGTGTGGTTCTGCTTAAGTTAAACGTACCTTTAAGTAATCAGTGTTATAAAATTAATTTTGCAATTGCAGAATAATTTTTAATTACATTCAAACATGCTCAATTCATTTGGGATAGTATTTGTAATTTACTTTCCTTAATTGTTTTCAAAGACAGATCATGTAGTTCATGCTATACCAAGAATGTGTATTGCAATATTTATTCATCTAGCAAAACAATCATGCCATACCGAGAATGTGTATTGCAATATTTATTCATCTAGCAAAACAATCATGCGAAAGAAATTGCGTTATAACAAAATTAATTCAACTTACAATAAATTTGAAGAAGCAATGAAAGAGATAATCTCGGTTGATTTGGCATCGTTGTCACAAAGGAATCGAAGAACACTTCTAGTTTGTAAATCAAATAAAAAAACTTGTTTGACAAAAGAAGGGAGTATTTGCAAAATCTAAGGAGTGTTTTGGAAAATTAACACTTTAAACTATAAACTCAAATGCCTTATAAGTAGCTCATGAAAATTCGGCTCGTGTCCACGAAGCAGGCTCGATTCGACTTTGTGACTTGTGGGTCTCATGGATCGAGTTGAATCACCCACAAGCCCATGATTCAACTCAGAAAAAAACAAAATAAAAATAACAAAGCATATAGAAATATTCAACATTAAACTCTCTAGTCCAAAAAAGAGTTTACGAGCGAGAGCCTCCAAATGGTAGATTAAAGGGGGGACACCAAATGATTGCTGCTAGGTCAAATCGGGACGAGGATTGATCCATTTGCCCTCCCTAATTTATTTAGACCTCTACTTAATGTACACGAGGATTACAATCTTTCTACTATTTTATGGAATTCATATGGCATGTTGCAATATCAAATTTTTATGCTCCATCTGATTTAGATTAAAAAAAATAGATTTTTAAGTATATTCTAATAAAAGTTAACAAAATGTCTGAATAGAAATTTATAAAAATTATGAATTATATGGAATGCATAATTACAAATGAGTTTGGTGAGAAAATGAGTTTTAAGAATTGGGACAAACAGAAAAAATAAGAACAAAAAGTATTTCACTATGGAAAAAAAATGAGAGAAATTGCTAATAATTCCAAATTCGACTAAAACTTAACAAAAATATAAATTTATATTAAAAATTGGGCCAATTTAATAATTAGAATTTTTATGTTGTTAGAGTTAGGCTAAAGCCTCTGCCAGACGGCCAGAGTTGGTTCATTCGACACGCATGGTATGGAAAGAAAGATGTCCTCCGATTTATTGCCTTTGTTTGGGCGCCTTTTTTTCTTTTCTTTTTTTTTTTTTTTTTTTTGTTTTTTTTTAAAAAAATGTAATTTGTAAATTGTGGCATTACTTGTATTGTCCACGTTTGGCTTCTATATTTGAAAATTTATTTTCCTTCGAACTCATTTTTTGTCATATATTTGATGAGGCCCATAACTTTTATTAATATTTCAGTAATTTATCTCATCAATTTTTATCAAAATTTTACTAAATCAGATATGGTACTTTCTTGAACTTACGTCTGAATTTAATTGATATTCATAAAGTCTACAATTTTGAAGATCAATTAAAATTCCAACAACTACAAAATCAAAATCATTTAATTCTCGATTTTATATACTTAAAATCACAAAAATTTTAATTGAAACTATATCGAACGGACATATTCATCAACTTTTCTTCATTGTTCATTGTGCTCTATTCATCATTTTTCCCAAACAAGCTCTATACAAAAATTGGTAAGAATCTCTGAATTATACATAGTTTTTTAACCATTCATTTAGGTGATATGAAGAAGAAGAAAAGTGCGTGGTGCAATCGAATACGAATATTACTACTACTCTGCTGCCTCTATGATCACTCTACAGAAAATCCTTTGATAACTTTTTCGTGTTGCACAGAAAAGATTCGGTCTCATTACTTTCATGAATATTAATGCCAGAAATCTTTTCATTTTCTGCAACCCATAGTAGATATTAGGGTCCGCCATGAGAATTTTGATATCCTGAGTGACTCGGCATTACGAGGTCCAAAAATATAATTTTTTTTACAAATGTAAAAATGCTTAAATGTTTAAATAAATAATATATTTAAGATCCGTTTTATTGTAAAGATGAAATTTGGGTGAAAAAAAAAGAATTTCAGGAAATTGAATTGCATAAAAATTGTTTTAGTGGAAATTGTAAATTATTGTGTTTGATTCGTATAATTTTTTCACGTGAAAAATGTTGGAATAAAAGTGTTTTTTAGTGTTCTTTTGACTTTGTTTTACATGAAAATTGTCAATTAAAATGATAAGATTTACTGGTATTGGGATGAAATTTGTTTCTATTGCCAAAAAAAAATCAAGAAAATCATTTTCTTTAATGTTCGTTTGACTTTGTTTTACATGAAAATTGTCAATTAAAGGGAAATATTTTTTTTTACAATGATTCTTAAAAAAAATTTCATTGCCAAAAAAAAAAAAAAAAAAAAAACAAACACACCCAACAAAAAAAAAAAAAACCCAAATTCTACTAGAAAAAAAAAAATTCCTAGTACAATAATTGAACTGCGTAGTAACCTAACTAAGGGGTCCGTCTATTCCCCCACTTTTTTTTCTTTTTTTTTTTTGTATTTTTGTAAAAAAAAAAAAAAATGTAATTTGTAAATTGTGGCATTACTTGTATTGTCCACGTTTGGCTTCTATATTTGAAAATTTATTTTCCTTCGAACTCATTTTTTGTCATATATTTGATGAGGCCCATAACTTTTATTAATATTTCAGTAATTTATCTCATCAATTTTTATCAAAATTTTACTAAATCAGATATGGTACTTTCTTGAACTTACGTCTGAATTTAATTGATATTCATAAAGTCTACAATTTTGAAGATCAATTAAAATTCCAACAACTACAAAATCAAAATCATTTAATTCTCGATTTTATATACTTAAAATCACAAAAATTTTAATTGAAACTATATCGAACGGACATATTCATCAACTTTTCTTCTTTGTTCATTGTGCTCTATTCATCATTTTTCCCAAACAAGCTCTATACAAAAATTGGTAAGAATCTCTGAATTATACACAGTTTTTTAACCATTCATTTAGGTGATATGAAGAAGAAGAAAAGTGCGTGGTGCAATCGAATGCGAATATTACTACTACTCTGCTGCCTCTATGATCACTCTACAGAAAATCCTTTGATAACTTTTTCGTGTTGCACAGAAAAGATTCGGTCTCATTACTTTCATGAATATTAATGCCAGAAATCTTTTCATTTTCTGCAACCCATAGTAGATATTAGGGTCCGCCATGAGAATTTTGATATCCTGAGTGACTCAGCATTACGAGGTCCAAAAATATAATTTTTTTTACAAATGTAAAAATGCTTAAATGTTTAAATAAATAATATATTTAAGATCCGTTTTATTGTAAAGATGAAATTTGGGTGAAAAAAAAAGAATTTCAGGAAATTGAATTGCATAAAAATTGTTTTAGTGGAAATTGTAAATTATTGTGTTTGATTCGTATAATTTTTTCACGTGAAAAATGTTGGAATAAAAGTGTTTTTTAGTGTTCTTTTGACTTTGTTTTACATGAAAATTGTCAATTAAAGGGAAATATTTTTTTTTACAATGATTCTTAAAAAAAATTTCATTGCCAAAAAAAAAAAAAAAAAACACACACACACACACACACAAAAACAAAAATCGCTACAATAACCGGGAATTGAAATTATCACCATATTGATGAGAATTCTAATTCAAGGAAAAGCTTGAAATTGCCTTATGTAGCAAGAAAGTTGGAAAATGAATTCTAAAGAAAATAAATGCTATCAAACAATGGAAAGTGAAAGATGGAATTGATTTTTCAAGTTACATGGAAAATAAATGCTATCAAACATAGTCTTATTTTTTAAATGAATACAGACTCGATACAATTCAAAAGATAGAATTGCACAAAAAAAAACGACAATTTTCTTATTTATATTATAATATATTAAACTATCAAATTAAGGGAAAATCATTTTTTGGACGATTTTAACTCCCCTACAATTCAATTACTTCAATAATACCTTACTTTTTGTTGTTCGATACGTAATAAATATTACATAATTATTGTCATTTATGAAATTTGTGCTATTAATTTTCAATTAATTAACATTTATATCATTTTAGATTCAATGAATTTTCACTTTGTGAATCTTGAATTATATAAATATAGATTTATTATAGATGAATTTATTCATATTCATTTATCTAAAAATTTTAATGGTGTTTAAATTTATGTATTAACAATTAATTTTTATATATCGAATGTGATATAAAAAGATTGTTCGTTTATAATATTTCATCATTATAAAAAATTTGAATCATAAAAATTCAATTTTGAGAGTACAATTTTCTTCTCTTAAATTTTTATGCTAAATTTTATTTTATTTAATTTGTCTGAAACTCATCAAATCCTCCTACAATTGGTATCAAATATTACTTTTACATTATTTATAAAGTATTTTTAGAATCGCGTGCAATGCACGTTCAACTTAACTACTATATCAAAGATTTTCAATCATTGTGATATTAGTTTCCATTATCAATTCCAACTAGGGATGTTAATAAGCCGAACCAAGTCGGCTAGAGAGTTGAAACTCGAGGCTGAGACTTGACTCGAGTAAAATTAAGTCGGATTTTTTTTTTGCCAGAACCGATCAAAAACTCGGCCAAAAAATCGAGGCTCGGCTCAAGTTTAGTTCGAGCCTTGCTAGGCCAAGCTTGACGCCCCAAAATGGGGCTCGGCCTGAGTCTTGAGCCGGGCTGACTTTTTTCTAGGCCGAGCCATGGGCAAT